CACACACACACACACACACACACACACACACACACACTCTCCATTTACCACGAGGAAAATAATCCATACACAGCATGACTGAGCAAGAGCAGATGAACACTTAATAGGTATCCACAGGAAAATGACACACACACACACACAAGCAATCAATAGCACACAAACAAACCTACAAGATATGCAGGAGCCATTACAGAACCAGATGATGAATGCCATCCATTTCAAACACAAACATTTCCCCTGTGCATTATGCCACAGGAAAACAATGAGTATTGTCAAACTGAGAAAGCAGCTCAACGCGCTGAAAGAAAATAGAGACACACAGAGGGACTTAAAAAATAAAAAAATACTTTGTTATGTGTGTGCGATTTTATGTAAGCGCTGGCTTGCATATGCATGTCTGTGGGCGTACAGTGTGTGTGAAGGGCAGTGTGTGTGTGATAAGTGTATAGGAGGCACTGTGGGGTGTGTGCTAAAAATATCACACAGTCAGCAACCTGTGCCTACCCTGCAGAGAGATTACACAGCTCTGCAGACAGTGAAGAAAGAAAGAAAGAAAGAAAGAAGGAAAGGAAGAAACAAACAAAGTGCTACCTCTCAGATAAGGCTGTGTGGTTTAGGTCTGCAGGGTAGCGGCCTCCAGGCAGGTGTAAGTGGAGGGCAGAGGGGTGCAGTGGAGGGAAGGCACCCCCTGCAGGCACAGAGTAGAACTGTGATCGCAGTGCAGAAAGACACAGAGACTCCTCCATCCTGTGGCAGAAAAAAATCAAAAAATGAGTCAGAATATATCTGCCACCGAGGAGCTGATGGTTATCTGATAAGTGAGTGCAGAATAGATTAAAGGATGTGGGGTTTTTTTTTTATTCTTAACATTTTGACTTTTATTTGACAGGACTGTGCAGAAGAAGCAGTAAAAGCGTGGAGAGAATAGAGGTCGGAACCCAGGCCCCTGCAGCAAGGACTTTAGCTTTTTGTTATGGGGCGCCACCTCAACCCGGTGAGCTATAGTGGACACTGCACACTTCCTGCTTTATTCCAGCTATATAAAAAGACTGTAAATAAAAATTGGAATAGCCACAATGATAATGCCTACTGGTTAGTAAAGTGAATTCAGCATCGTGTTTTAAAACCAGAGGAGAAGATTGGGTTGAGAAAACGAGGAATATTGCAGTCCCAAAGCTAGATTGATAACTTGTCAATTGCACTGTAACACACACACCCTGCTATTTAGATTACTTACAAAATGATCATCATGTTGTATCCATTAAGACTAGTGATTATGCTATAGACTAATCAGAAAGGATTAAGTGAGGTCATGGATTTGGGGAGCCCCTGACTCCAGCTACATTTCTCATTGAAACCCAAGGAGCCCCCTGGTGGCTATAAAGAAGAATGCAGATCACAGGCATTAACCTAAAAAAAGATAAAGGGCAGCTGTGTGGGTTTCTGTTACCTCGGTAAAGACAGAGGGTGGTGCAAGTAGGCTGGATGATAGTAAGCGGCGACGGCGGCGTGGGCTGCAGCGGCCGGGTCGAGGCTCAGGGGCAGAGAGCTCAGACGGAGGTCATCTGAGGTGGCGAACGGCCGGAGTGCTCTCAGGTACTCCTCCGGAACGGCACCTGAGGGCACTACGGGGTGCATCTGCCCCGGCAAACTGCAGAACATATTCAGAGGATAATTTTAAGAATGAATTCTGCACGCAGGCTTTTCTGCACAGCTACGCAGTATGCACGTGCCACACTTACCTAATGCTCTGCATTCGGGGGTCTTGCATGATGCTGCTTGGTGTGAGGCCGAAAGAGTGAGCCAGGGGGTGAGGTGAAGAGATGGGAGGAGTCCTCTTGTCCTGCTGTGGCTGGGGGTTCTCAGCTCCCACCCGCTCCCTGCTGAGACCCTGAACACTCGGCTCCACCTGACAAAGACATACAGAAAGTGTGAGAGCAGACTTTACTATGTCTATTGGTGTGATTTTTATTTTTATTTTTCCAGTGTGTGTCTGTGTGAGTGTGCACGCGCTACATTCAAACAGAGTAGAGGAGTTCTGGAAAAAGACGAGTGAGAAATACGATGGAGTGATTGCGTAAAAACCTCTGAGCTGCAGCCAGAGGCTCAGCGGAGTGGAAAAGTGGGTCTGATATGTCATAACAGGTCAAGATCAAAGTGGAAAGATGATCCCAATATCTAGCCAACTGCTCCATCCTTCATCACCCACTCCCTCTCTGAGCTTCTCACTCAGATGATTTGGCCACCACAACACTGCATTTGATCCTCGATTGCTCAAAATCACCACCATGACCAAATAGGCCTTTTTTTTTTTGCCAAACCTGCATATAAACACGCATTAAGAAACAAGTACCCCATGCCTGTATCCAAGGCTCTCTCCCACTTTGTCTGGTATGTCATGCGGCATTGTTCTTCATTCTGTTCAAACCAAGCAGCGCTCAAGGATCTGAGAAATGAAGCCAATACTGAAGTAGTCTAGTAGCTGCAATTCACCAAATGGCCACTTGAGGTTGGCTCCAAACCATAGACAGTGTAAGAGATGGATGTAGCTTCTCTGATGTCGCCCACTGGTTTCTAAAGTCCTGTTTCAGAACCTCGAGTGGAGGGTTTCTGCTTCACCAGGGCGGGTCTGACTGTGAAACTGCACGGTCCTTGTTTAAGGACCTGTGATTCACGATTAGTTAGTGAATGACTGTGCAGTCTTATCCCAATCTGCTAGGACTCTGTGGTGGTGAGGGGAAGGAGACTAGACAAAAGACACTGTGGAAGAGATCCAGAGATTAATAATAAAGGATGATTAAATGCAGAGTGGTGTATAAGCACAGAGAGACAAAATGATGTGAGTGTTCCAGCTGTAACTATAAGCTTTATAAAAAATGAAAGTTTTAAGCCCAATCTCAAAAGTAAGAGGGCATTTGTCTCCCACGTCTAAACTGGGAGCTGGCTCCATAGAAGAGAGGCCTGAAATCTGACGGCTCTGCCTCCCATTCTACTTTTAAATATCTTAGGAACTACAAGTCAGCCTGCAGACTAAAAGCAAAGTGCTCCATTGAGGTAATATGGAACAGATAATCCTGAATTTTAAAATAAATTTAAAACAGACTTAATGTTTTGTTCAGCATGACCCAAAACTTGTGGTTAAGCTCATAATCTTAGCAGCAAAGTGTTTACAGAGGTCAAGACAGGGACTGGTTTTTCCTTTGATTTCTGTAGGACTGATGTCTCTTTGCAAACACAGCTATCGCCATCTGGTGGCATCCATGGTTTATACTGTTTGTGCTCCAAAAGGAAGTCAGTCTTTACAGTCTTTATATAATTTCCATACTAAAATGCAGCAGGCAAACGTGTTTGCAGCCTGCTATAAGAAAAAGGTGTGGTCACTGCAGCCAGCTGTACTGAGCTGAACTGATCTTCTGTGTTCTAAACTTTAAGGTTTATGTTTTATGCTTAGCACTTACTAGTAGGCATCAATATATGTGTTGCACTTATAGAGTTTCTACTGTAGCTTGTAAACATTAGCTGCCAAATATCACTTCTAGCTCCAAAAATCACGAAACTCTTCTATAATGAAGACTCCAAAACTAATATTGGCGAATTAATCCATGACTTTACGTTTGTTCCCATTTTCATATACAGTCTATGCTCCAAACTGTAAGGCAAAAAAAGAAAATGAAAAGACTCATAGTCTACAGCATTGATTAAGCTGATCTAACCGTTTGTTTGCATGCTTGCAGTTAGCGATTAACAGATATTAAAACAAAGTAAAACCAGGAATTGAAAATGAAAAAGTGCTGCGATATTTTTTGGTGTGACGGAGCCACCGACTCACTAACCAACCAACCAAGAAGCCAACAGACCACCAGACACTGATTCTAAATAAGAAACAGCTGCCTGGAACCGTTTAGCAAAGTATGTTAATGAGAAAAAGACATACATTTACACTAATGTGTCATATCTTGTTGCTACAGCAACAGACAGCAGTACAGGTCAGGCTGACCACAGACAAACCACAAACAAATGACCTCTCTCAGCAACACCCAATCTGCTACCTTAGTTTAGTACAACACTTGATTTGCAGTATAATACTCGTGTTTTGAATACGTTTGAATAGTTTTGTATATGCCACTCATGGAAAGCAGATTCAAACCAGGGATGAAGCAGCTTTCCTTTGCCATCTCCCAGAAATCCTCACTAGGTCAAAACGAGACAGGGAGGCAACACATGGACGGTCTGGAGAGCAGCCATCGCATTCCTTGACCTCTGACCTCGCAGACAGCCAATGGCCTTCACAGACCCGGCAATAAAACACACGCAGTCTGCTTCTTTTGGTTAAACGGTCCTTTGCTCTGTCCGCACAGTACGGACAAACACTGAATTAACACACAGCTCTGCTCTCCCGCTCATTCTTACACTGCCTCCCTTCCTTTCTTAACATCCTATTCTCCATTTTTTTCCCTGCCTCCCTCCCTCCTCGATTCTCTCTGAATGTCTGAATAAGAGCCCCAGGCAGGCTGGGCCACAGAGTGGTCTTTGTGAAGGGGGAGAAAGGCAGCTCTGATCCAGGGGGAAGTGGCTACTGTGGGGGCTAACCTCTGCATTGTTTGAGGGGCCTGGTTACTTGCCACAGCTTAAATTCACACACACACACACACACACACACACACACACACACACACACACACACACACACACACACACACACAC